AGGCGGGCAAGGGAAGCTGGGACTTCGCTTAAAGCCTCGCGCTCACGGGGAAGGTATGCCTCCCCCAGGGACATGGATCAGGTCTGTCCTTAAACATACAGGATGATTCCAAATTCCAGAATTCCAGCCTGCCCTGGGACCACTCTCCTCACCAACTGATACTTCTGAGACCATCAGGGCAGCACTGTGGCGGGCCCAGGCCTGGCCTGCACTGTCAGGGACCAGGCTCCTGAGGCCTGGTCATTCTCACTCTGGGCTCGGAGCTGGGGATGGAGAACAGGCCTGTATGCACTCACAACTTTTCAGGCGCAACCAACTCAGCCCTCAGAAAGGAAAGGAAGAGGGATGATCCCTGGGAAACAAAGTGTCTGTCCCACGAGGGTGTGAGCCAGTCCCTGAGACAAGCGGAGCGGCACTGATGGCAATTCCATCCACACGGCGAGGCGGTGCCGGGGCAGCGCTCAGAAGCAGGGCAGAGGGCTGAGGGGGGGTCTCTGGCCTCACAATTGTGTTCCACACCCACAGTCACGGGTCACAGGCAGCAGGCACCGCAAGCTAGAGGTGACACAGGCAGCAGCAGATTCCAACCTGAACCTTCCCATGGCAATGGGAATGGCGGCCCTCACACAGGCTGGGAGAAGACATGCCTGCAGCCACCCCAACCAAAGAACCTCTTGGGGGAGGGGACGAGGAAGGCATTCCGGTCCTGGAGAGCCCACCACTCGCCGCCCAGTTTGGACACAGAATGGGACACTGGGGAGGGTGTGAGGACAGGGAGCCTCGGGAAACATGACTCTTACCCAAAGGCCTACCCCCCAAACCCAGGGGGAGGCCAAAAGCAGCTGTCTCCTGGGTTCGGCTCTCAGCCCATGGGCAGATGGGGTGACAGTAAACAGTGTCCATTTCCAACCACCAATGCATTGCACGTCAGGGCCAGTGGCCACTAAAAAGTGCTCTTTCCAGAGGGAGAAAGATCTGGAAGTCAGTCAGGTGGCCCAAGAGAGTTTCCATGAAGAAACAAAAGCAGTAAGGAATGAATGCTTACATCTAATTTGCTGCTGACTGGTTTTCTTGTAATTGAGAAATCCTGGGAGGAAAAGCACATTTTCTTTTAACCACAAATTCTAATGAAAACACAGCACTAGTGTTTACTAGATCAGATGACCCAGGCAGCCAACACCCAGCTACTCATTCTCCCATTCTCCTGCGTGACTACATTTCTTTCCCTCCCAACACACAGCCACCCAGAAAGGCATTCAAGCTCCATCCTCAGGGCTGCGGGCCTGGCTCCTCCATGGTCACCGGGCAGGAGGGCCTGGAAGGAGGACAGAGAGCGTCCATACAGGGATGCACATCAGGGAAATACCTTTTTTTTCTAATCTTCACCCGAGAATATTTTTTCCATTGATTTTTAGAGCGAGTGGAAGAGAAGGGAGACAGAGAGAAACATCAATGTGAGGGACACATCAATGGGTTGCCTCCCGCACCTGTCCCAAGTGGGGGCAAAGATCAAGCCTGCAACCAAGGTACGTGCCCTTGACCAAAATCAAACCTGGGATCCTTCGGTCCAGGCCGATGTCCTATCTTCTGAGAAAAACTGGCCAGGAAAGGGAAGTATCTTTGATGATATTTCTTTTGTAACTTGAAAGTTATAATTAAGAGTGTTGAACTCAGAGGAAAGGCAGGGGAGGGGTGAGTGGGAATGAACTCGTATGCATATATGCAGAACCCATGGACACAGACAATGGGGTGGCGAGGGCCTGGGGGAGGATGGGAGAGGCTGGAAGAGGTGAAGGAGGGAAAAAGGAGGACCTATGTAATACTTTCAATGAAGATTTTTAAAATTTAAAATTAAGTTACCATATGCCAAAAAATAGAATGTTGAAAGATAAAAACATAGGGACTGCTTGGAAATGGAGACACATTCTATTCTGGTTTTATCTGCAGTCACAGATAACATTTATAAAAGAGTCAGAAATTAGTGCAGCTACTGTGGGTGACCTAATAAGTCTCACTGTAGTGACAATGACATCAACTTGCTCATGTACACAAGTAACATTAGATACGAGAACCAAGCATATACGTAACAGGCACACCAATTTCCGTAGTACATCACACACCAAACTCAGCCCCTGGGTGAGCCTGGCCACTCATCAGGCCACACCACGAGGCACCTCTTTTCTGTGCCGAAGAGACAGAGCTGAGAGACAAGGCATGGAGGGCTACCAGCACAAGCCCAGTCTCAGCACTTCTTTCCCCTGCGTGCAGCAGTTCACATATGTAAAGCTGCGACATGTGGTCACCATGTCCTGATGTCAAACGCATGGGCACTGCATAGGAGTACCGGCTGGCAGATGACTGGCTGATACAATTCAGGGCACCAACGTGACCCAGCGACTCACTGCTGGGAAGCATCAGGAAACAATCTAACAGCCAGCCATGCATTAGACACGCATCCCTGGTAACAGCAAAAACTGAAAATAACCTCAGGCTCCAAGAACAGCACATAAATAAGGACAGCAGGATATATTCATAGAAGGAACACTGCCTATAGAATAATGTTGACTGAGATATTTTAATTATAAAACACTTTACTTCTATTGCAATGTAATAGCAATATACAAAATCCTATGTATGTCCTATAACCTCCACTATGTGAGAACTGGAAAGAAAAGATCAAACTGTTTTCTCTAGCCTGGAATGTTTCCCTTATTTATAGTTCCCTAACTACCCACATTCCACAGTCACCACACATATGGAAACGTGTCTGGGTCCTACTATCTCTAGCCTTGTCTTGTCCAGGCTGCAAAGGCAGGCTGTGAATCCAGAGATTCTCCCAGGAAGGCTGGTCCACCTGGGGACACGGCTGCTCACAGAACACAGGATGCCAGCCACTGGGATCCACAGAACAGCCCTGCCTGCCAGGAGCGCAGGGTGAGCCAGCAGAGGACTGCCAAGGCTCTGCGCCTGGGCTGAGGCATGGCACCAACAGGCACTCGCACACCTGGGCTTCAAGGACGCTCCCTCTGCCGCCAGCTCCCAGGAATCCCACCACGGGCCACACAGCGCGGGATGAGGCCTCCCACTACTCTCCGCAACGCTGGTCTGTGACCCTCAGGAATGAGGTGGACCGAAGGCTCCTTCTTAATGAAACAACCCACCCTCAGACACTTCACCCACCCCAGCTACCAGTCCCCTCCTGAGAAGAGGAGGCCCGTGCCCTCTGAGTGTTGCCTGCCAGCAGCCTTGTGCCTCCACCTGGAGGGAAAGAAGGTGACAAATCAAGGTTACTCTAGAGGTGACTGAGCCCGCGGCCCAGCCCACAGCCACGCTCCCGAGCTGGCTGGGCGGGCACCTCCAGCAGAAGCGAAGGGCAGAGTAACTGCTGGGGTAAGCAGTGCTGCACTCAGGCTCATGCAGGGTACTGAGCACAAACTGTGCTGCTTCTGGAAGGGGCTGAGGTGCCAGGAAGCGACAGGGAGTGCACTTCCTTGGGCGAGAAGCCTAGGAATAAGCCAGCAGGACTGGGCCAGACCTCAGTGGGAAGACATCAACGTTTCCATGGCAGCTCGTTCCCAAAGTCCGATAAATGGGATGGAGAGAGAAGTTCTGCTTCAGAACGGCCCAGTGCACGGTGAAAAATGCCAAGCCTCTCCCTTTCCTACTGGACCCGAGAACTGGAAGTTTCCATTAAGAATGGTCCTGGGACAGAGGAGGGCGGGCCACTTTGTGACAAGGTTGTGGCTTCTGTGGAGTGGCTGGGCCGTGGTTCTAACCACGCATCACCTCCTTCCCTGCAGGAGGCCCAGGAAGAGGGAGCCCTGGGCAGCATGAGGACAAGCACAGGACCCGCAGCAGTGGCAGCAGACACGGACCCCAGCCCCGTCCCCGCCACAGATATGAAGTCCATTGTGTGTTTCACACAAGATCATGTCCGGGCACGCTGGTGACGTGGGGAACTCTGGGCCCAGGTCATTGGGACAGTGACCCCGGAGGCTGCTAGACTGGCTCAGCTGCATGGAAACACCTCGGGTTCCTCCCGTCAGGCTGCTCCCCACAACCGCAGCCACGCAGCCGGGACCAGGAGGGACTGTTCCCGAGCCTCTCGCACAGTGAAATGTCACCTGACACCACAGGAACACCGAGACCCGGGAGGCTGACACGGGGCCCTGTGACTCAGGATAAGGAGCGGGGCAGGATGCAGTGTGGCACCGAATGGCCGTAGTCTCACCGCATCAACTAGTGAGCCTGCCCACCTAAAGCCAACACTTCTGAGCTGGACTACTGTGCTCTTCCCACTGGGTGGAGACAGGAAGGACCGGGGCCCCAGGCTGGATGTCTCCCCACCTCAGCACCAGCATGAGGGAAAGAGAGGGTGTCCATGAAGTCACAGGGCCAACTTCCAACCCCCAGGAGCCAACAAGCACCTGCTCTCTCCTACGAAAAGGTGGGGCAAGGCCCCCTCCACCCATCAATGTCCAATACCCAGAGGGCGAACGTGTGGGCCTCGCCGCACTTCCCAGCACAGGAGTCACCACCCAAAGTCAGCCTGGCAGGGACCACGGCACAAGCCTGCGCTGTCAGCTGGAGCCAGATGCCACCATTCCCATGCTCTTCCCAGTTTCTAGAGAGCTGCTGTCCACCCCCTGCCAGCCCGTACTCAGAGGTGAGGCAAGCATGAGCCTACAACACTCCTCGCCACTGAGTGGTCTGGGAAGGAGAGAGGTGAGATGAAGGCCATCGGGGGAGGTGGGAATGGCACGTGCACTATGCAGCTGGGGACCAGATATAATCAAGCAGAGCTGCTACCTCGTGGCCCCAGGGGCCGGCTCCAGGAAAGCCATCATGTCACAAAGTGCCAGGAAAGAGAAGACCCATGCTCTACTGAGCTGGCCCTGATGCAACCAGGACCCTCGCCACAGAACGCTGGAGATCCAGCTCCATTCGCAAGGGGACATGCACCTGCTAGCTACAGAGGCCCTTGGCTCTGGCGGCCTCACCTGGACTCCAGAACCCACTATCTGGGGGGCCTGAGCTGTCGGCGCGGTCTGCTGCTGCACCGGTGGCTGCGGGGGCTGCTGCACCACCATCGGAGCTCGGACCTGGTGGAGGAAGGGAGAATTCGATTTGGAGCCACGGAGGGCAGAGCACCTGCTACTTCTGGGGGAGCTTTGAAGTTCGAAGCTTTTCATGAGGAGGAGGGTGGGATCACTGCGTCTTCACTGGCTCTTATGTCACCTTAACGGCCGTTAAGCTCATGAGCAATGTCCCACACCAGCCTGTCTTCGAGCTGCACAGTGGAGTCCCACTTTCTCTAACTCTGGTGAGAAGTACAGCTTTCCCACTGAGATGCCAGCACCATCCATCACTGCAAACAAAGCAATGGCTCCAACCACACAGCCCAGCCTTCTCAACCTCGGGCCCGGCGCACTGCCAGTCTGTAAGAGTCCCACTCAGAGCCCTGATGCCTCAAAAGAAACCAGAGTGGCTGGCCAGTCAGCAGAAGGACGGCTCCTAGGTGACAGATCTACTAATACCTGCTCCTCCCAACTCTCCCCAGCCTTCCAGCCTGCGCCTGTGAGCCTCCTATTCACTGCCACTCAGTTCAGGCATGGCCTATCCTTCCTCCATTCAATGACTCACACATAGAAAAGGCCATGAAAAGCAAGGAAACAAGCAATAAACCCCACAAACACATAAAAACGGCCCCTTGATGTAGCTACTCTTAACTTGGTGGCAATATTCTGTCCTCTGAGTCAACGTCACTGACTGGATTTGCTTTGTACAGAGATGTGTAACAAGACTGAAAGTGACATTTTATATTCATACCCTCCTCACAAATATGGTCATGACAGGGGTCTTTGAACAGAAACTCTGAGCAAGTAGCAAACCACCATGGATGCTTACTGGAGGTGACATGTCCTTCCCACAGTGAGAATACACATGCGGTCACCGACCTAGTCATCAACAATCCTAAAATCACCCGTAATTTTGAAATGGCCACGGCTGCCACCAAAATCAGCCATGCTGCTTGGAAGACCAGCGGCTACCCCTGCAGCGGGGACCCCAGTGCAGGTGCAGCAGCTCTTGGAATGCACCCCCCCCGCTGAGCCAGACGTGAAGGCCAACATGGGACAGGGCCACCCGAGTCCCATTGCTTGAAGAGAGGACATGCCGTCTATAGCCAGAGAGTTCCAGAAACTGCTAATGGCCACGATCTTCATGTGATCCCAGAGAAGAGCCACAGCCTACCACGTGTCATGGGTACTCACAAGCTTCAGCGGAGGCTGCGGGTAGAGCATCTGTCCAGGGAGGGCCGGAGCCTGCGACACCAAAGGCTGGGTCTGTGACTGTGGCGGGAGCTGTGACGGCTGGTTCTGAGCCACTGGTGGCTGCTGAGGCTGGGGCTGTGGCTGGTGGTGCTGTGGGTGATGCATCTGCTGCAGCTGCTGGGGCAGGGCCTGGGAGGGGGGAGGCTGTGGCTGCTGCATTGGCGGCTGCTGCATTGGCGGCTGGGCCTGCAAAGCCTGCTGCTGCTGCTGTTGCTGCAGCTGCAACTGTGCCATCCTCTGTAGCTGCTGCTGCTGCTGTATCTAGGGGCAGAACAGGTAGCACTCAGTCACCCCATCGGCCTCTGGGCCCTGTGCCAGCCTTGCCCCAGGAAGCCTGCCTGCGTTGTCCTCACACGGGGCAGAGGGAGCACTTCCCACTGAGGAAACACCAAGAGTGCGCTTGTGCCCTGGCCACCAGACGCTGGCTGGTCCACCCCTAGACCCGAGAGAATGCAAGATTCAAGGGAAATATTGGGCGAGTTTAGTGAGTGCAGCCCTATGGAGGCTGGAGTAAACACTCAGGTGACTCAAATCTCCGAGGTCCCTACACTGGTCAATAGTACAAGCCTCACAAAGATGGCCATGTCTGATTTTCAGGATGAAGATGAAAGGAGGGACTGAAGACTGACTGTCGGTTCTGAGAGGGTGGCCGCTGGGAAGAGGAGTCAGCGAGCCAAGGCCTGGAGGAGGCAGAAAAGTGGAGATCCCCTCAGGGATTCCCTCCCTCAGCCAGGAGCAGACCTAACAATAGACGCTCAACACGTCTGGTGCTGACTGTACACCATGGGGGGTGGGGGACTGTTTTCTGAGGACCAGGGCTTCTAATGTGACATTGCCATGACCCTGTAGGACACTAGATGTAGGTTGATTAGGGCACCAAACAAGCCCACGTGATGGCTCAAGCCTTCATGCATCTTGAAGAGTTTGACTCACTTCTTGAGTTAACGCTTACATGAATCGCTTGCACCCAGAGCCTCCACTGAGTCAGCCCCCAGCACATAGTAGGTCTGCAGCTAGATACCCAAGTCTGGCAGAGATCAGATTACCTCCTAGCAAGTCAGGGCCTATTTCCCCTCCGTGTTCTAGGTTCTGTGGGAAGCCCATGAAGAAGGAAGCTGAGGCACCGGTGTCAGGAGGATCCACTGCTGGCCCTGGGTCCCTACACCCATCGCGACGGCTGGTGCGTGGCCAGAGCTCCAACACCATTGGAGGGAGGCCAAGCACGGGGGCGAGAGCACCTGGTACCTGTTGCTGGTTCTGATGGTGCAGTTTAAGCAGGTGCTGCTGCTGCTGCTGCTGCTGCACCGCCGCCTGGAACTGCTGCTGCATGGCGTTCTGCTGCGCCTGGAGCTGCTGCTGCTGCTGCTGCTGCAGCGCCGCCTGCTGCTGCTGGAACTGCTGCTGCTGCTGCTGCTGCTGCTGCAGCGCCACCTGCTGGAGCTGCAGCTGGGCTGGAGACAGGCGGCAATCAGGCCCCGCTGCACAGGCAAGCAGAGCCCGCTGCCCAGTGCTGAGCACACGGGGAGGGTGGTGAGGCCATCTGCTGCCCCACCTGCTGCTCGGGTCGAACAGATGTGATGGCAGCAACGTTTGTGTGGATCATGAAACTTACTATTACGAATTGTTCTATAATAACAAAGCAAAAAGTGCCAAGACTGGTTTGGCTCAATGGATAGAGCGTCGGCTTGGGGACTGAAGGGTCCCGGGTTCGATTCCGGTCAAGGGCATGTACATCGGTTGTGGGCATATCCCCAGTGGGGGGTGTGCAAGAGGCAGCTGATCGATGACTCTCTCTCATTGATGTTTCTAACTCTCTATCTCTCTCCCTTCCTCTCTGTATAAAATAAATAAAATATATTTAAAAAAAAAAAAAAAAAAAAAAAAAAAAAAAAAAAAAAAAACAAAGCAAAAAGAAAAGGGCTAGGCCTTTTGGATAGCCAAGAAGCCCAGCCTCTGGTGACTACTAATCTACTCTCTATCTTTATGGCTTCGCTATTCTGGACATTTCAAATTAATGGAATCTCACAATATGTGGTCTTTTATGATGGGCTTCTTTTGCTTAGCATAATATTTACAAGGTTCACCCATGCTGTAGCATGTATCAGTATTTCATCTCGTTTTATTGCCAAATAGGATTCCACTATACCAGTGGTTCCCAACGTGGGGCACATGCCCACGGGGGGAAAATTTGATTTTTAAGGAGGAAAATTCGAGACTGAGTAATTAACAGTGAATTTTTTTTGCATTTCTTATGGTTCTAGGGGCCTCAGATACAGTATATAAATATGTATTATGACGTTTATGCATTTCAGTTCTCTATGATATGTTTTGAAACTTTATTTGCTATTTTTTTTCATATCACTTCATATTATTATTTTTAAAAGATTTTTTTATTAATTTCAGAGGGAAAGGGAGAGAGAGACAGAAGCATCAATGGTGAGAAAGAATCATAACTCAGCTGCTTCCTGCACACCCACACTGGGGATCGAGCCCATAATCCAAGCATTTGCCTCGACCGGGAATCAAACCATGACCTCTTGGTTCATACGTCAATGCTCAACCACTGTGCCACACTGGTCAGGCTTCTTATTATCCTATATAATAAAAGGCTAATATGCAAATTGTCCCCTCAATCAGGAGTTCAACCAGAGAGTGGGGCTAGCCAGCCAACGCCCTCAGCCCCCACAGTGGCAGGCTCCGCCCCTGACTGGCCCCCCTGGGGCCAGTCTGCTAACCACCCACAGCCCGTTTGGTGGTTTTTGTTTTTTTCATATCCCAGTAGGGAGTGTGCAGGAGGCAGCTGATTGATGTTTCTTTCATCAATGTTTCTAACTCTATCCATCTCTCTTCCTCTCTGTAAAAAAATCAATAAAATATATTAAAAAAGAAAAAGAATACGGAGAAAGAGCCTTTGTATACTTTGACCAGTTTCTACCTATGGTACCATTTTGTGAAATTATAACAGAATAACACAGCCAGACTATGTGCTCCGCTGTGCAGGTGTGAATATTAAGTTCTATACAATTTTCTCGCCTGAGTAGATTACAGTCAAAATATTGAACAAGCCCAACACCACAGGGATCCCTACTAATGCCACCTGCTTCCACAGCCCCATCCTTCCACCAGGGCAACAACCAAGGTGTCCTCCATTGCCGAAATGCTGCCATTTTAAAAATGTTACGTAAGTGGGACTACACAGTATGGTTAGTTTTTTTCATTCAGCATAATTCTCTGAATATCAACCAGGCTGTAATAACTTTAAAATTGACTTTAAAGAGAGAAAGGGGGAGGGAGGGGAAAGGAGAAGGGAAAGGGAGGAAGAGGGGAGAGAAAGGAGTCGGGGGGGGTCCGTTAGTTGTTCCCTTATTTGTGCATTTATTGGTTGCTTCTTGTATATGCCTTGACTGGTAACTGAACCTGCAACCTTGGCATTATTGGGATGACATTCCAACCAACTGAAGTACCCAGCCAGGGCTGTTCATGTATACTCAAATAAAGTATAAAGTTTAGGCATATTTTAATCTCTTTTCCAAATACAAGGACCTGAGAACCCCCCTCCCCCTCTCTCTATTTTTTTTTTAAAGAGAGAGAGAGGTAGGAAGAGGGAGAAGAGATAGAAACATGGATATGAGAGTGAGGCAGCGATTATCTGCCTCCTGCATGCCCACAACCGGGCATGTGCCTGACCAGGAATCGAAAGAACAGCTTTTCGGTACACAGGACGCAGCTCAACCAACTACACCACCTTGGCCAGGGAAAACCCTCTCAATTTTTTAAAGTAGGTTTTATGTGCACATAATAGACCTGATTTCCTTGATATATTCCCCTCTCTGACTTCCATTTATTTTGGTCCCTGTTTATCAACTTGTGGCCACACAGCAGACTTATAAGAATCAGGATAAGCACCCAAACGATTGTCAGCTGATTTCTCAACAGAAACTATTATATGCAGGCCAGACGGGAATGGCAAGAAATATTCAAAGTGACGAATAGCAAGAACCTACAACCAAGATTACTCTACCCAGCAAAGCTATCATTCAGAATTGAAGGCCAGATAAAGAGCTTCACAAATAAAAAAAAGCTAGCCGAAGCCAGTTTGGCTCAGTGGTAGAGCATCGGTCTGTGGACTGAAAGGTCCCAGGTTCGATTCCGGGCAAGGACATGTACATTGGTTGTGGGCACATCCTCGGTAGGGGGTGTGCAAGAGACAGCTGGTCAATGATTCTCTCTCATCAACGTTTCTAGCTCTCTCTCTCCCTTCCTCTCTGTAAAAAATCAATAAAATATATTAAAAAAAAAAAAAAAAAAAAAAAGCTAAAGGAGTTCATCACCACCAAACCAGAATTATATGAAATGCTGAAAGGTATTCTTTAAGAAGAGAAAGAAATAAAGGTAAAAATTATAAACAACAAATACATAACTATCAACAAGTGAATCTAAAAACCAAGGGAATAAAAAATCTGATGAACAGTATTAACTGGTGAATAGAATAGAATCAGGGATATAGAACGGGAGTGGACTGATGATTCTCAGGGAAGAGGGGAGTGGGGGTGCGGGAAGAGACTGAACAAAAATCGTACACCTATGGATGAGAACGGGGGGGAGGGGGTGTAAGGGCAGAGGATGGGGTAGGAACTTGGTGGAAGGGAGCTATGGAGGGGGAAAAAACAATTGTAATAATCTGAACAATAAAGATTTATTAAATTTTAAAAAAATCAGGATAGAATAATGACTAGGGGTATAGCCTCTGACCCAGACTACCCTGACTCAAATCCCAGCTTTGTCACTATTCTATGCCTCAGTTTCCTACACTGGACTAATGACTTATAGATAGAATACTCAAAATAGTGCTTGTAATATAGCAGGTCCATATGGAGGTTAGCTCTGAATATTATTATTTTACAGAGGTGATATTTTTTCACACCAAGAATTCTCAACTTTGTCCTTACTGAAATTTGGACCAAATAATCCTATGTTTTGGGGGGTGGGGGAGGCTGTCCTGTGCATATAAGATGTTTAGCAGCATCTCTGGCTTCTACCAACTGGATGCCAATAGCACCCCACAGCTGTGACATCAAAATGGTCTCTAGAGCCGAAACTGGTTTGGCTCAGTGGAAAGAGCATTGGCCTGCGGACTGAAAGGTCCCAGGTTCGATTCTGGTCAAGGGCATGTACCTTGGTTGCGGGCACATCCCCAGTAGAGGGTGTGCAAGAGGCAGCTGATCGATGATTCTCTCTCATTGATGTTTCTAACTCTCTATCCCTCACTTGTCCTCTCTGTAAAAAATCAATAAAATATATATATTTTTTAAAAATGGTCTCTTAGACATTGCCAAATGTTCCCTACGGTACAAAATCATTGGGAATTACTACCTTATATGAAAAATATTTCTTCTCTCATCTTACACCTGGCATGTTGAAAAGGATGATCTGGGAAGAGGAAATGTGAGGACAAATAAAAGTGTGTCCTTAAAAACCTTTTAATGAAGGTTTCTTAGGCTTTATTTATCTAAAAATGTCTCTGTTTCCTCCTATTCCTTGGACGTTTTACTAGCACATAACTGTGGTTGGCAGCTCTATTCTCGGCACTCTCACCGCCTCCCATCTTCTTTTTTTTAATTTAAAAAAATATATATATTTTATTGATTTTTTTTTACAGAGAGGAAGAGAGAGGGATAGAGAGTTAGAAACATCATTGAGAGCTGAAACCGGTTTGGCTCAGTAGTGGAGCGTTGGTCTACAGACTGAAAGATCCCGGGTTCGATTCCGGTCAGGGGCATGTAGCTTGGTTGCGGGCATATCCCCAGTAGGGGGTATGCAAGAGGCAGCTGATTGATGACTCTCCCTCATTGATGTTTCTAACTCTCCCTTCCTCTCTGTAAAAAAATCAATAAAATATATTTTTTTAAAAAGAAAAGAAAAGAAACATCAATGAGAGAGAATCATCGATCAGCTGCCTCCTGCACACCCCCCACTGGGGATATGCCCGCAACCAAGGTACATGCCCTTGACCGGAATTGAACCCGGGACCTTTCAGTCCCCAAGCCGACGCTCTATCCACTGAGCCAAACCGGTTTCGGCCCGTCCTTTATTTAGCATGCCAAGCCCATACCTACCAACTGCTATGTGTGTGGTCCCTGGAAATTTCCACATCTGTTTACTGTTTCTGTTCTTCCTCATGGAGCCTTTGTTTCCTTTCATACCTACTGATCTTGGATTGTGTGCTCACTGCTTGACTTTAACTGCAATTCCAACAGCCCTGATCTTGGAGGCATTCTCCAATCTGCCCTCGCTTCTGGGGGTGCTAGGGATGCCAAGGGCCCTAGCACAAATCCTGCTAAATGGAGGGACCCCGAACTTGCTTTTCCCATCTTGCAGTGAGCTAGGACAGAGCAAGGGAGAGAGCATCCCCTACTTCTGCCAGCCGGGCAATCCAAAATGCAGCCTACCCAGTTTCTATTATCCAGAAGGAGGGGTCCTCAGCACCCCGTCTGTCAAACAGCCAGAAAGAGGACTTATTTTTAAAGTCAGTTTTTACATGCACATGATATAAAATTCACTGAGGAACAACAATGTTCAGAGGGATAAGTCAGTCTCACTAAAACTCTGTATCCCAGCCCCCAGCCTTACCCACAGTCAGTGTTTGTGTTTCTGATGACTAACCTGGGTCACGTGGAGACTATCACAGTGTGCCCTGGACTGCCCTTTGAGAACTCTGGCAAAACCTCTAAGGCCTGTCCTCTGGGATTATGGCCTGAAGTAGCCTTAATCACACGGTGGCATTTGGAAAAAATGTTAGAGAGCGCAAATGCCCACTGGGCCATGACACGTCTTTTGGGCAGACCAGACAGGCAAGAGGTCAAAGGCAGAGAGGCAAGGTCTCCGGCAGAGGCAGCAGCGGGACACGAAAGGAGAGAGCCCACCTCAAACTTCCTCTAGTGCCACGCAGGAGACCAGGTCCCTCTGAAACTGAAAACAGGATGTGGGTCAAGGTCAGATTGGGGAAGATATGAAAGCTTTTACCACTGAACTTCTGATAAACTCTTAGATGTGAAACTGTAAGTAAGACAAATCATAGATAGGAGCATTCTCAACTCATAATAAATTTTAAAAAAATATATTTTATTGATTTTTCACAGAGAGGAAGGGAGAGGGAGAGGGAGCTAGAAACATCGATGAGAGAGAAACATCGATCAGCTGCCACCCGCACGCACGCCACTGGGGATGTGCCCGCAACCAACATACATGCCCTTGACCTGAACCGAACCTGGGACCCCTCAGTCCGCAGGCTGACGCTCCATCCACTGAGCCAAACTAGCCAGGGCTCAACTCATAATTTTTAAAATATATATATATATTATTTTTTATTGATTTCAGAGAGGAAGGGCGAGGGAGAGAGAGAGAAAAACATCAATGATGAAAGTGAACCATTGACTGGCTGCCTCCTGCATGCCCCCCACTGGGCGTAGAGCCAGCAACCTGGGCATATGCCCTGACCGGGAATCGAATTGGTGACCTCCTGGTTCCTGGGTTGACACTCAACTTTTGAGCTACACCCGGCTGGGCTCAAAATAATAACTATTTTTTATTATAAAATACAAGCTTGTGATAAAAGAAACTCAACCAGTACACCAGAGTATAATGTAAAAAGGAGCCAGGGCCGGTACCTCTCTTAGACATTCTTCCATAAGCTATCCCGTGTGTGTATCAGGTGTGCTGATATGACAGAGGGGGACAAAGGAGCTCAAGATAAAGAACCAAGTGAAGAGCTAAGAGTCTGATGGCAAGATATCAGAAGACCTGAGGAGGAAGAGGATGGCTGGGGATGGAAGATTCCAGTGCAGGAGTGGTGAGAATGAGGACACATGGGCCAACTGAGAAGAGCAAGGCAATGCTAATACAGTAAACCCAACAAAGAACTGGATGCTCAGGTCAGGCAGCCTGGGTTTGACCCCAGCTATAGGTCACGTTACCTGCTGGGCAAAGCAGAGGCAATGACACTGCCCTCTTCGTAGGTTACTATGAGGGATACATGGGAAAAATACATTGAAACACCACAACCCATACACAAGTGTTCACAGCAGCTTTATATATAACAGCCCCAAACTGGAAACAACCCAAATGTCATGCTAGGGTGAATGCATCAATCAACTTAGTACACTCAGTCCTTGGTACATTCATGGAATACTACTCAGCAATGAAGAGGAGTGAATGATTAATACAACTTGGAGGATCTCAAGGGCATTATGCTGAGTAAAAAGAGCCAATCTCAAAAAGTCAGACATTATATGATGCCACTGGAAAAACATTGCGAGGTGACACAATTATAGACAGAGAACAGATCAATGACTGCCAGGGCTTAGGGCCTGTGTGATTATTAAAAGGTATACAACAGCCCTAGCCAGGTTGGCCCAGCAGAAAAGAGCATCAGACTGCAGACTGAAGGGTACTGGATTCAATTCTAGGCAAGGGCATATGCTTGATACCCAATAGGGGGCATACAGGAGGCAGCCCATCAATGATTTTCTCCCATTATTGATGTTTCTATCTCTCTACTCCTCTCCCTTCCTCTTTGAAATCAATTATATATATAAAGGTATGTATATATAGCCAGGTTGGTCCAACTGAGAGACATAGGTTAAACGACAACCTATGAAGCAGGGAGTCACGGTTTGATTCCCAGTCAGGACACATGGCAGGGTGTGTGCTTGATCCCCAGTAGTGGGTGTGCAAGATGCAGCTGATTGATGTCTCTCTCATGGAAGTTTCTATCGCTCTATCCCTCTCACCCTAAAAATCAATAAAAAATAATTTTTAAAAAAGAGATGTACAGCCAAACCGGTTTGGCTCAGTGGATAGAGTGTCGGTCTGTGGACTGAAGGGTCCCAGGTTCGATTCTGGTCAAGGGCATGTACCTTGGTTGTAGGGGGTGTGCAGGAGGCAGCTGGTCAATGTTTCTCTCTCATCGACGTTTCTAGCTCTCTATCCCTCTCCCTTCCTCTCTGTGGAAAATCAATAAAATATTAAAAAAAAAAAAAAAAAAAAAAAAAAGAGAGAGATGTACAACAGCTTGTTGGTGGTAATGGAAGAGTTCTGCATGCTGACATGGTGATGGTTACTCAATTCCACATGTGATAAAATATCATAGAACTACACACATGTAAGTGCATGCACAAGAATGCGTGTAAGAACTGTTGATGTCTGAATGGTCTCCCTGAGTTGAGCACTGTCCCCATGCTCATTTCTGTTTTGATGATGAACCAAGATATTATCATTGGGGAAGCTGGGTGAAGGGTACATGGGAACTCTGCACTACTCTGCAACTTCCTGTGACTCAGAGTATTTTAAAAATAAAATGTTCTATTAAAGAAAAAAAGGCATTGAAGCACTTTGAAGCCCTGAAGTACATTCCAGGGACTAAGTAAATGTTTATCAAAGGTCCACCAAGAGGGGTCCTGGAAAGAAAAGGAAGACCTGCACTACAGTCCGGCTCCTGAAGGGCAGCTGAGAGCCGCAGTCAGGGGCGTGAGCTGCGGGAAGCACCAAGAGGGCGAGGGCAGCACTGAAGAGGCGGCTCCTGAGAGCGGGCAGCCTAGGGGTTGTGAGATGCTAAGAGCACTCCTTCCTGACCAAGAACTCTCTGGGACATAACTACTTCTCTCACAGCTACAAAATACAAGCCCTTGGACGGAGGAGCCCCGAGCACTGCAGCCTCCTCCGAGTCCTCCACTCTCCCCAGTAGGAGGCGGGCCTCAGGGTCACTAGCTCTTCTGGGAGCCCACGGAAGGCGTGGACCTTTCTCCCCACACCACAAACATAGAGAGACAACTCCTTGGAGCTTCTCCAACCATCTTAAGCAAAGGAATAAAATGCTTGCCGCTTCCAAAAACAGCGGCAGGTTCTCTGAAAATGGTGGTACTCACTCTGTGGGGTCGCCGTGGACACAACAGCCATGCCATGGGGGGCCATCCCTGAGGTGCCGGGGGGCGGCTGTCCAGAGAGAGGCATCGGCTGCCCCATGGCACCAAGGCCTCCCATCCCACCTAGGGACTGTCCTGGGCCCCGGGAAGGCATGCCAATTCCGGCTGCTCCTGCGGCGGGTCCACCCGTCAGGCTCTGCAGTGCATTCATAGGGTCTGTGGGAACACAAAGGCACAGCATCTCAGGGAGGGGCCCGCGGGAAGCAGGTGAGGCTCTGAAGGCTGTGAGGGGTCATGGAGCACCCCCTTCTTGCTGCCTCCAGGCTCTACTTCCTCAAAGCCCCAACTGGTCAGAGTCCTGGAAGCCTCCCACAGGCTGTCCTAACTGCCTGTCACAACCCCAGGGCAGGGCGCCTTGTGTGTTTATTATTGCTTCTGGACCGTGTGCCCTCCTGGGCAGGGAGCATGTCCCACCCTCCTAGTGGGGCCTGTACTGGAGTCCTAAGATTAAAGGCCAAATGTGCGCTCAGGGAAGTAGCAGCCCCCACCCCTCCTGGCTGTGCGATCCTTTCCTGATTGGTGAGCACACAAGGCCCTTCTTCAAGGAAACAAGGGCACAGGTGGGGGTGGGGCGCACAGAAAAGCCTCAGGCGGAGAGGAGGTGAAGACAGATGCTCTCCAGGGAGATTAAAAGTCTCCTGGTCCACCAGAGCCCCCACAGAGGGGCATTCTCAGGACACTCCTCCTGTACCCGGGCCATCACACCAGAACAAGCTAAGTGAGGGACAGGTCCACAAAACGCAAAGGAGCACTGTGACACTCACTAAGCCCACCAGGTCTCCAGACTCAGCTCAGTGAGCAATGCTGAAGCAAGAGGAGCCTGATGCTCTTGTCACACACAGTTATGAGTGTAGGCTATGGCAAGTGCCTAGCTGAATACAGGTGTGGCCTGGCCTGGGCACCCTGCCACAGACCTGGGTGCCACAGACCCTATGCGTCAGTACCAAGAGCCCAGAGGTTCTCCTGGCCATGTACTCTGACCCCACCGCCCCGCAAGCTGAGGATCAAGCTACATGCAGATACCCCGAGGGGAGCTAGGGCCTACATGGACAGGTGCCGCTAGCTCATGAGGCATGGGCATCTGGCATTTATAGCTCTGCTGCCTGTGGTAAGACAAACAGTATGGGAGACTAGCTCCCTTCCTGACAGGTGGGCGTCTAGTCGGCCATGTTGGATCTCAACTCCTTCACTGGCAGCTCAGCTCGGTCAGTAAAATCAAGGCTGAATTGTCAGACAGGGTCTCCCTTATGTGATAAAGCCTTGAAATTAAAAAAAATAATGATATTTTTTAACTTACAAAGAAACTTTGTAACTTAAAGATAATTCACAGCTACTCTCTAAGAACTACTACATGCTGCTATCCTAATATATAATAACTAGAGGCCCGGTGCACAGATTTTTGCACTGTTGGGGTCCCTTGGCCTGGCCTGCAGGGATGGGGCTGAAACCGCCTCTCTGACATCCCGCAAGGGATCCTGGATTATAGGAGGATGCAGGCCAGGCTGAGGGACCTCACTGGTGCATGAATCCATGCACTGAGCCTCTAGGATGCATATAAGATCTTTGGTTAAAGTCTTCCCACCTTCCCCCCTTGCCTCTGAGATTTATCAGTCTATTCCATGTTTCCAATCCTGTGGTTTCCGCTCCTGCATTGACTGCCTGGTGGTCAGTGCACATCCTAGTTAACTGTCAGACAGTCACTTAGGCTTTTATATATATAGATAGTTCTCTCTCAGAGCAAAATTTTAGATAATGTCTCAATAACTATGTGAGTTTTTATAATCTTTTTGCTGGGCAAAACTGTATCCCAGTGAAATGCAGTGGGGCAGCAGCTTATGCACAGGAAAAGGAAGGATGGGGAGTATGGGGCACCGCTCCACAATTCTCGGGAACAGCCAGAGGTCTCTCTGAACTTGTCCTCTAGCAACAGCTTAGCGCCAGGCAAACGGGGCACCCACAATATATTTCCTGCTGTTCCATATCCAAGGGTGGGAAGAATTTGAATTCAAAAATAAAAAAATTCTTACCACTGACAGAAGCTTGAGATTTCTTGTTATCTATATTTAAAAAACAAAAACAAAATAAATAAAGTTTTAGATAACCACATATTTTCACAGTTAAGTCAGTTTATATGCATTTGTCTAGAAGTCATTTGCTAAAACTGAGCTCACCTACCTAGAAACTAGATAAAACATATCTCAGAGCTTCAGTGTGTGTTTGTGTGTATGTGCCCCATTCCTGGCAGCACCGATGCACAAGGGGGTCTGGGAGAAGAGGGTGCAGACCGCCCAGGGTCAACCTGGGGCCTTAAGGAACTGCCCAGGCAGAGGCTCAGTGTGGGCCTACTCCAGCTCTCCTTCCTTTCCATAGTCTCAGCTCCTGCCCTGAGCGACAAACAAGAAAGCTATAGGGTCCATGATGGGTCCAGAATGCTGCTGAGAAGCCCAGGACACTTCCATGTTCAACCTATGCTGGTCAGGCAGCATCTCCATTTTCTGAAGAAACTGAGGCTGGCCAAACCTGCTGGAAGGCAGATCTAACTGCCCTAGAATCAGGTGGGGAACTGCTGCACCAGTTCTACCCTCTCCTGAGGCGCCAGTGAGACAGCCATCTCCTGACCAGCCCAGCCCAGCCCCGACAAGCAGAGTCTCTTGCCAGGACAAACCAGGACGGTTCATCCAGGCTGCTCGTTCTCCAGGCTCCTACTTCCACCTCCTCTTATTCTAGCTCCACAGAACCTTCCCTAACTGAGCAAGAAAATGAAATCAAGTGAAGTTCACCTTGTTGGCTGTCCCGGTAAAAAGCTAGTTAGTTAATGTGGAAAGAAGCAAAACCTCTGGGGTACTTCCTTAGCCCGGGATTACTGAGACTGAATCTGTAGCTGCCTCTACCACCACGGGGAACAGCGACTGGACTTGCTAAGTGCACACCCCAAGGACAGGCTATGTCAGCAGCCCCTCTCCCGTGGAAACACAACTGCAGGCAGGCAAGAGGCGCTGTTGGCTAAAACCACAGGGTGCCCCCACCCCCCACCAGCCATCCAGGAACACTCAGGGTCTACCCAGAAAACCCCGGCCATGGGATGCAATGACCTTCATTGCTGAAGTGCCCCTGCTGCTGCTCGGCCTGGCTGAGGGACCACAGAGGAGCCTGGGAACCAGGGGAGGTGGGATGTGGCAGGACCTGGGTGTCCCTCACTACGCAGGCAGCTGGAGGCAGGAAGTCGGGCTCAGAAGCTTCCAGCCCAACAGGAACACACACATTTAGGTAAGGCCTCCATGGGTCGATAAAACCACTATTTGGGAACGAAGTTTCTGTTCCAGAGTAAACTGCTTATTTAAGACGAGCTGCCTGGAGATAAAAGCAACAGTCCTTTTCTTTTTTTTAAAGAATCGTTTCTTTTTTTAAACCTCACCCAAGGATATGTTTATTGATTTGAGAGAGAGAGGAAGGGAGAGAGGGAGAGAGGGAGAGAAGGAGAGGGGGAGAAAGGAAAAGGGAGGGAGGGAGAATGAGAGAGAGAGAGAGAGAGAGAAAGAGAAAGAGAGAGAGAGAGAGAGAGAGAGAGAGAGAGAGAGAGAGAGAGAGAGAGAGATTGGCTGCTCCCCATACACACCCAGACTTGGGATTGAACCCGGAACCTAGGTATGTGCCCTGACCAAAAAATCAAACCCGCAACCTTTTAGTGTCTGGACAACATTCCAACAGACTGAGCCCCGACCAGGGCCAACAGTCCTTTTAAAAAAGATTAAATGGACAAGCAAAAACAGCAGTCCAGTTTAAAACACTTAGAGGCCAACATCTTCATTATGCCCAAATCAGCATTTCTGAGGCTGAGGCTCTGGGGAGATGAGAAACATGGAATCAAATGCAAAGCAATGAAGAACTTTCCAGAAAGCAGGCACTGTTACACAGACACTCTGACTCTGTGGCCAAGTGACAGGGTCAGCCTCTCCCCGCGATCACACCCAGAAATGTAAAATTTTACTTACGGATGTCTCGAAAATGGATAATGAGCCTGGCCACAAGAGAAAGGTATTCGTCCTAAAAGTAAAAACAGGAAGCAGTTTAATCCCAGATGAAGGAGTGGAGCCGTGTGCTCCCCTCCCCTCCCCCTGGCATTCCTGTGCCACCAAGCAGAGGCTCTTCCTGAAAGGCTGCTGGCTGAGGCCCACCCAGCTCTGCCCAGCTGGGCCTCCCCTGGAATCCGGCTCAGAGGCTGTCAGTGCTCAGCTCGGAGGCCAACGCAGGCACCAGGCACGGAGACACAGAAAAACAAGCTCCCTCCCCCTGCGGTAAACACTTCACCGAGGGGCCGAGCGCCAGCTCAGGCGGGGAGAGCGGGCCGGTGCGGGCGAGGGGCTGTGCTAAGGTCACAAGGCTCATCAGAAGCAGCCATGGGCGGGCCGCTGCCTTTGTCTGCACTGTTTGTATCGAAGTACTTTCGCTTTTAATACCCAGCCTGTTGCTTTTTTCACTGCTGACGTCACACTGACATGCAAATCTGGATGTTTGCCCCAGCTGTGCTTTCGGAGATCCCTGTTAATCTGATTTGCTGCACAGGCAGGGGAGAGGGCACAGGGCACTCAGGGTGGCAGGCGGAGGCCAGGCCGTGGCCGAGGGCCCTCTTTGTCCCAGCTGCCGTGCTTCTGGAACGGCTCGGCAGGGCCTGCCTTCCACCAATTGTACTCTGTGCAACCAAGGACACTGACTACCGGCTGTTCCTCGGAAATCGCTAATGTGAGCTTGTCCTGAAGTGAACAAGGGGATGCCTGAGTTGGACTCTTATTTCCCATAAGCTGTGCATCCTTCCCTTCTCAAAACGCCCATCCTCCCATCGAGGTGGCCCCAAAAGGGCAAAGCCTGCACCGCACCCTGTGGTGCTCACGTGACCTCCTCTCCTAAGTCACCGGAGAGCAGAGCGGCACTGGGCAGCAGACTGGCGAGGTGATAATTAGGACCAGACACAGCACCTGTGGTGGCACTGCCCCAGGACACACACCTGTGAGCCCAGGGACAGACAGTGGGCCTGTCCTAAGACTACTTCCAGGGAAAAGAAAATGAAAACGGTCTTGCCGTAACTGGTTTGGCTCAGTGGATAGAGCCTCAGCCTGCAGACTGAAGGGTCCCAGGTTCGATTCCGGTCAAGAGCATGTACCTTGATTGCGGGCACATCCCCAATAGGAGGTGTGCAGGAAGCAACTGATTGATGTTTCTCTCTCATGAATGTTTCTAACTCTCTATCCCACTCCCTTCCTCTCTGTAAAAAAATCAAATATATATATATACACACACACACACACATACACACACACTCTCAGCATAACCATTATGGCTTGTCTCAGTTTCGGTTCTTATAAGGGTATTTCTTGAATCACATGATCTCATGCATCTAAGGGAAATAACAACAAAAACTGATGAATAAAAACAGACCTAGAGTCAGAGAAGCAGGGATCAGACTATCAAACCTCAGAGGGAAGGCAGGGGAGGGTGGGGTAAGGAAGGGAGATCAACCAAAGGACTTGTGTGCATGCACATAAGCCTAACCAGTGGCCATGGACAACAGGGGAGTGGGGGCATGCGTGGGGAGAGGTTTGGGATGGGAATGGGGGGATGAGAACAATTATGTGATACCATAATCAATAAATCAATTAAAGAATTAAAAAAATAAATAATAAAATAAAATGAAAGTGGTCTCAAGATGAATGTAAAACTGTAAGCTCCCTTTGTAAACCTTTATTATCCTTCATCTGCCTCCAAACTTCACCCCACCACTTTTTTCAGCCAGGGGAAATCAACAGAGGAAACTACGAGGGGGGAAAGGCCGGGGTGGGGGGGTGTGGTCATACGTAAGCACACCTAAGGAGGCAGGCACTGAGAGAGTGAGTCTCTGTTGGAGCAATGGGCACTTAGGAGGTTGTCACACCACTAATGTCCCACTGCCCCACCCATTTCCGGTGGGAAAGACTGTGCTGGGAGTGAAGGGGTCACTGGTGTCAGGGCTCCTGCATGGCCCAGCTGCTGAGGCTGCGCCTTGAAGGGGGCAGTGTGGGGCGTGGATAACCATGATGTGTGTGTGGAAGAGGCTAAAGGAGCTCAGGAAACAAGTGGCCAAGTATGAAGGACAGGGACTGGGAGCTTGCCAGGTCAATATCTGATGACTCGTTGGGACCTTGGACCATCTTTTAGGTGAGCAATATCCGTGGTTTGTTTTTTTTAATCCTCACCCGAGGATATTTTGTCCATTGATTTTTAGAGAGAATGGAAGGAAAGGAGAAGGGAGGGAGAGAGAGAGGAAAAAAAACATTGATGCAAGAGAAACATATCTTGATTGGTTGCCTCCACACATACCCCAACTGGGCCTGGGGATTGAACCTGCAACCCAGGTACGAGCCCTTGCCTGGAAATTGAACCTGAGACCCCTCCGCCCACGGGCCAATGCTCTGACCACTGAGAAAAACCAGCCAGGGCAAAGGGGGAGAGATCTTTTTTTTTTTAAGTTTTAAAAAATATTTTTATTGATTTTAGAGAAGAAGGGAGAGGGAGAGAGAAACATCAATGATGAGAGAGAATCATTGATCAGCTGCTTCCTGCAGCTCCCTACTGCGGACCAAGCCTGCAACCCAGGCATGTGCCTTGACGGGGAATGGAACCTTGACCTCCTGGCTCATAGGTCAATCCTCACCACTGAGCCACATTGGCCAGGCAAGGTGAGCAGTATCTTAAAAAAGGTTGCGGTCTCCATTCCTGATCAGGATACATACCTAAGTTGCGGGTTCGATGCCCAGCTGAGGTACACTGATGTTTCTCTCTCACATCAATGTTTCTCTTTCTCCTCCCCATTTCCTCTAAGATCAATAAACATATCCTTGGGTAAGAATTAAAAAAAAAAAAAAAAAGCAAAAAGCAACCGGAGTCTTTTACTAAGACATAAGATACAGTGAGCGGGGCTCAGGAGCATGTCCCCAAGCCCTTCACCCAGAACCAGGACTGAGGGCTCAGACCCAGGCGGGCAGATCCCACTGCACACATCCCCTGCACATCCCCTGGCCCAGGGCAGACACACCAGCGTGGTCTGCTCCTGGCTGAGCTGCTCCCTGGTGGAGTGGAGACTCTCGGGACTAGACAGTGTGAGGAAGCCTGAGAGGGGGAGAGGAAGGGATGTGACCACTTGCCAGGAGAAACGGGCACAGGACATAGTTAAGTCACACTGCTACCAAGGGGCTTTGCTTTCGTGTGGGTTAAACACATCTCCAAATTCTTGCAAAGGCCAGGTTACTCAGGTACCACTGAGGTTTGCTGCAGGTCGGCTGCAAATGTTCTTTTCCACAGGAGACCCCGGATCTGAACCTCCGCCTCCGATCTCTCCCAGGCTGGGGCTGTCATATCTCCAATCCCTAAGTCTCTATCTGCAGGGCACGGAGGTCCTGACCGACCTCCCCAGGTGTGAGACTTCCCAGCCCCCGTCCAGGACAGGACACGGCACCTTCTACTCAAGGCACCAACCGCTCCAGGACTGCCCCAGGTTCCAAGGTTAGTCACCCCTTTTCTTTGTCCCCTTCCACCTTCCACTTTAGAAAAACAGAGAAATCACTCTTCCCCATCCTTTTCCCTCCTCTGCGGTCCCTCCCACCTTTTAAATTCTTTCACAGTCATTCTAACGGGGTCCTAGGAGGGAGGACAGGTAGCAAACATGCTGGGTGCCATCTGACCTAGAGAGTCTCCCTCCCACCCCCACCCCCACCTCTCACTCGTGAGGAAGGGCCGCACTGGCAGGATGTGGCTCCCTGAGGGACGTAAGCTGCAGTACAAAACTGGGAACCAGACAGCAATGTCTGACTTTGTAGAAAAGACAGGAATTTCCAACACTTCTAATAAACGTCCTCTTCCAAACAGCTTCATCTTAGAGTTAGGGATCTCAAACCAAGAAGATGGGGGACTCAAACCGTTAAGGTCTGGTATGTGGGCTGCAGAAAGGCAAAGCTAAGACGGTGAGGGGCTCCTGCCTGCCAGATGCCCACTGGGGACAGAAGCTTATTCCCCAGCTGCTGTGAGTCTCTGTGTAGTCTCCCAAGAAAGCTGCTGACAATCTTTGGCCTCCCTGTACACACACACACACACACACACACACACACACAGACTCACACACACACACACACAGACTCACACACATACACACACACACACACACAGACTCACACACACACACACACAGACTCACACACATACACACACACACACACACACACACACACACACACACAGACACGCTGCTGCTCGCATCAAATGGTGGAGACAATTCCAACTCCCCTGAACCTGCACAGTCCCAGGCTAGTCAGTCTCCATCTATGCAACATCCCAGGACTTCCAAGGACAGAAGCTTCCACTTCCTACTTCTTGGAAGCCAGCTGCCATGCAGTAAGAAGCCCAGACTAGCCGAAACCGGTTTGGCTCAGTGGTAGAGCGTCGGTCTGTGGACTGAAAGGTCCCAGGTTTGATTCTGGTCAAGGGCATATACGTTGGCTGCGGGCACATCCCCAGTGGGGGATGTGCAGGAGGCGGCTGGTCAATGTTTCTCTCTCATCGATGTTTCTGGCTCTTTATCTCTCTCCCTTTCTCTCTGTAAAAAATCGATAAAATATTAAAAAAGAAGAAGAAGAAGAAGCCCAGACTATGCTGCCAGAGACACTTCATGGAGGGAAAACCAACGTGCAGACACGGGAGTGAACCCTTATGGCCCATCTGGCCCAGCAAAGCTGCCAGCTAGATGCAGCTACATGACAGGTCACGCGTGAGAGCACTGGAATTCCAGGCAGGCAATTCCAACTGCCCCAATTCCCCACCCACAGAATCAGAAGGAATTCACTGTTTAGGAGGCCACCAATTTGGGGGTAGTTCAGTATGAAATGATAGATAAAGATATTGAACCAACAACTTCTGCATTTCAAAAGCTGAAATAGTTCAATAAGCCCTCAACAAAGCTCTTTCAATTATAATACAAATTAAAAACAATTAAAACATCCCATCCCCCATATGTTTGCAAATTATATAATAAGAGACTGTATCCAAAATAAATAAAGAACTCTAACAGTCTAACAATAAAAAGTCCATGAACCCAATTTAAAATGGGCAAAGGAACTGGCCTGTGTGGCTCAATGGATGAGTGTCCATCTATGAACCAGGAAGTCATGGTTCAATTCCCAGTCAAGGCACATGCCAGGGTTGTGGGCTCGATTCGTAGTGTGGTGCATGCAGGAGCCAATCGATGATATCAATGATTCTCTCTCATTGATATATCTGTCTCTGTCTCTGTCTCTGTCTCTCCCTTCCTCTCTGAAATCAATACAAATATATATATTTTTAAAATAGGCAACGGATTGGAATAAACATTTCTCCAAAGAAAATACACAAATGGCCAGTACCGCATGAATAAATGCCTCAAATCATTAGTCACCAGAGAAATGCAAGTCAAAACCAGTAACAAGTATTGATGAGGAGTGAAGAAATCGGAACGCATACACTGTTGATGTAAATGAAAAATGACACAGCTGCTTTGGAAAACAATCTGACAATTTCTCAAAAGGTTAAACATCATTATCACATGATCCAGCAATTCCACTCCTAGGTATATGTCCAAAAGAAATAAATTAAAAATTTGTACACAAATGTTCATAGCAGAATTATTCATAATAGCCAAAAGGTGAAAACAATGTCTATCAACTGATGAGTACATAAAATGTGGCATCTCTATACAGTGAAATACTATTTGGCAATTAAAAGAAATAAAGTACATGCTACAATATGGTTGCTGGATAAACCTTGAAAATACTATATGCTAACGAAAGAAGTCAGTCACAAAAACATATGTAATTGCATTTACATGAAAAGTTCAAAAAAGGCAAATCCATGCAATGGTGAGCAGGTAAGTGTCCAGGTCCAGGGCAAATGGAGAGTAACAGAATGGAAATGGAGTTTCTTTTAGAAAATGTTATAAAACTTAGATGCTGGTGATGGTGCAACAACTCTGTGAATATCCTGAAGATCACTGAATTGTACACTTTAAATGGTAAGTTGTATAGTATATAAAGATCTCAATAAAGTTATTATAAAAACGAAAGAAAATGCTTATCACATATACCCAGGGCACAGAACCCTCCCTGCCCTCCCATAAGTGCAAGGAAGAACTCTTCCTTGCACTTATCTGTGCTCACACACACTCAGGTGCTGACCTTTAAGACCAAACTATAGAGATGGTGTTTGTTCTGGAACCTGCCTTTTCTAGCCAGTCATCTTTACCTTTCCATTTCACAAAGTGTCCACCTCATCTAAGCATTCAGACCGTGCTCAAATTTCCCCAATTGACCTCTAGGCGTCTTGACAGTTGGTTTATCAAACCAGTATCCAGTCAAGGGCCATAGCATCTGCTTTTAATTTGTGACACAGCATGTCTTAGAGCTCAGGCACACGGTGCTCAGAGCACACCCGATGCGTCAGAGGAGGGACTGGCTCAGGATCTGTATGGAGAACGGGGCGGGTGTGATGCAGAACAAAAGCCCTGGGCGTCAGCCCCACCTTGCACAAACTGGCTGGCATTAGGCAAGCGCTTGGCTCCTTTGTGCCTGTTCTGCTTCGTCTGTACTGGAACAGCTCTGCCCCAGGGAGAGTGCACACGGGAAGCCAGGGTGAGAGCTCACACACTGGAAGTCCTCCCCAACTACTCCACCGGTAATATTCCTGTGCCTGGTTCCTCTATCTCCACTAGCACCACCTCCATCACTTAACAAGAGGGGACAGGACTCTTCTGGGCCCACATGTCAGGACCATGTGGGGCTTAGGCTAGGACTGACACTGAGAAGCTGGGCCTGCGTGAATGCCCTACAGGATTCATAGGTGCTAACCACAACTGGAGGATGCTGGGAGTGAGGTCTAGGGTCAGACTCTGGGACTGCATACTGAGAGTCCACCCAGTAACCTCCCTGTACCTACACCCTGGACACACGGGAAGACCCACAGAGAGCTGCAGGCAGTGACAGTGCCCATGACCAACCGGTGAGTAGCCACCCCTTTCCCACTGCCCAGGCAGAGGAGCTTCCAGGGTCTGCATCACACCCTCCCCTTCCTGAGCCTCTCAGCCGTGGGCTCCGCCCGCCTGGGCCTTACCCGGGTCTTGGCCTTCAGGAATACATGGCTCTCCATATCCTTGCTGGATTTACTGTGGGCCACACCAGCTTTTCTCATGGCATCTTCGCTGAAAGACAAAAAGAGAAGAGATGCTGACATCCTGTGAGTCTACTCCTGCAAGGTCCCAGAAGCCCTGCACACAACTGCCCCTGGGTGGCTGGGGCCTGTCCCCCAGTGCACCGGCCTCACTGAGACCAGGAAAGGCAACCAGGGAGGTGTGCTCAGCAGAGCACTGAAAGGCAGCTGAGAAAGGGAGGAAGAGGGCAGGGGCACAAGACGGAAAGAACAGGAAAGGTGGTCCCCACAAAGCAAATGAGGCACCGCTGGAACAAGGGAGCACAGGGGCCAGGCCCTAACTCACAATCAGCACAAAACACAGCGCACATTAGACGGCTGGGTGGCCTCTACTTCCTGCCTTCTGAATGGCCTGGCCCCGCCTACCTCTGGCATTAAGAGTAGTGGGATCCCAGCTCACTCTCCTTCTCTGTAAAACAAAGGGGCCACAACAAATTATCTTTCGGTCCTTCCCAAGCAGAGGTTCCTGTGTGGGATATGAGCTTCCCCAGGTGGCACCCAGGAGATAAGCCCCCACTTCCAACAGCTGGAGGCTGGGGACCGAAGAGACAGACCACACACACGAGGAAAGCATCTTGAAAGCACATTTGCCAACACATACAATGAAAGATGAGATCCTATCACACATGTTCATCATGCCGATGCTCTGCTGGGACAGAGCTATGAACATTAGCTAAGCATACGCTCCCTTTGGATGGCAGCATGAGCACACACATACACACACACACACACACACACACACACACATACACGCACACACGAACACATGTGCCTTTGTTAGAAAGGAAGGGGCATGTCAGGCTTGAGTTCCAAGGCCTGGCCCCTTTGCTCACAGACCGCCTTCTCCCCTGCCTCCCTCCCAGCACTGACCTGCTGATAAACAAATGAACAAGCATGTCAGGGCTCTGCTGCCGCACCCAAGTGCATTAAACAGGCCCAGTCCAGCTGGTGCAAGAAAGCTTCCTGACCACTTCAAACAAAGAAACCCCAGGCTGCTGAAAGACTGTGCACCTGGGGCTGCAGAAACAGATTTGTGATCCTTAAAGAAATCCCAGAAGAGAGGCTAAATGCTTAGAGATGGGCAAGTCTGTGCTAATGTATAAAGATAAAATGACGCTGATCAACCATACCACTAGATAATTTGTTTAACACGTGTGAGTCTGGGGTCTGTGCCCCGTCTGCTTCATTAAGCCTGCAGAGGAGGCAGCAAAAGGTTCCTCCAGCAAAGCACCCAAAGTGAGCAGATGCACGCACAAGGGAATGTAAGACCAGGACCACGAGAAAAAGGTGAGAAATCTGGGTCCCATTCTCCCCTCCCCTCCTGCCACCTCTGCCAGCTCTCCAAGCCACACTCATGGCAGTGTGCGTGGGGAGCAACTCAGTCTATGCCCATGCCTCCCTTAAGGCAGGCAGCCCCTCAGTTGAGGAGTCTGTTCCTCACCCACTCTGCTCAACATCCCGAGGTCCTGCCGAAACCGGTTTGGCTCAGTGGATGGAGCGTCGGCCTGCGGACTGAAAGGTCCCAGGTTCAATTCTGATCAAGGGCATGTACTTTGGTTGCGGGCACATCCCCAGTAGGGGGTGTGCAAGAGGCAGCTGATCGATGATTCTCTCTCATCGATGTCTCTTTCCCTCACTCTTCCTCTCTGTAGGAAAAAATCAATAAAATACATTTTTTTAAAATATCCCGAGGTCCTGCTGCCTAGAATGCTGCCCAACTATGCCACCAGCCATGTGTGCTGGACCTCCAATTTCTCCCACTGGAGTATCCTCACTCCCTACCTCACAGTGGCCACTTCAACCTCACCCGTGGCACCTCCCCTGTGGGAACTGCTAGCTTCTCGTCAGCCCCACTGTCCTACAAACACCTTGAGCGTAGAACGGTGGCAGCCACCTCTGTGCTAGCGGGCAGTAATCAGTGTCAGACAAAAATCAGCTCTGTGTAGCACAAGGAGTGGTAACAGCATGTCTTTTGATGGAGCATGGCGTGCAGAAGCTGAGATTCAGTGTGGCAGGCACTGGGGAAACGAAACCTCGAACAAGCACAGCCAGGCTGCAGAGGCCAGGGTGGGCTGGAGAAAGCATATGCTGGGGCAGGCGGAAGTGCTGGCCAGCTGGACCTGCGGGAAGTAGGAAGAGGAGGAAGGGCCTGAGCTATAGAAATATACAGACCAGGGCTCAGATTCCAACCTGGCCACTCGCCAGCTCTAGGTCCATTCCCCAAGTGCGTCCTCTCCGTAGAGAAGCGCTAATGTGTGCTGAATAAATCAGAGAACAGTCCGCCTCACTGCACGGTAAGACTGCACCTCAAAGAACCTCCAATAAGTGATGACATTTGTGTCTCCTCCTTCCTAGATGACAGCAGTGAATGTGTGCGGCTCCCTCAGGCAGAGCTGTTCCCACTGGAACCCTGAACCACTTGGAAATGTGCCACTTGGGTGCCCAGCTCCATGGCCCCTGTGGCTGCCCATTTCTTAAGAAGGGCCTTCACATATCCTTCCCTGCCCTCTAGCTGCCAGACCCTCCCCCCGTCCACACTCCATTCCTGACAGCGCTGGTTCACACGCATGAGCCTTCTCGCCTCTCATGTGGTCACCCTCTTCAATGCTGCCCTCTATCCAGGGTCTAACTTCTTTTCTTTCTTTATATATATATATTGATTTTTTTTACAGAGAGGAAGGGAGGGGAAGAGAGAACTAGAAGCATCGTTGGGAGAGAAACATCAGTCAGCTGCCTCTTGCACACCTCCTATTGGAGATGTGCCCGCAACCAAGGTACATGCCCTTGACCGGAATGGAACCTGGGATCTTTCAGACCGCAGGCCGACACTCTATTCACTGAGCCAAACCAGTCAGGGTTCACACTTCTTCTCTGATTGCCTAAAGAATGCTTGAGTTCCCGGGAGAGTGAGCTCCTCGGTCTCCTGTTGGCGTCTAAAGCAAAAGTTTCTTTCCTCCCTGGGTCACCCTCCTGGCCTCAGGTGCACAGGACACCTTTGGCCCATCCATCCATGTGATGGACTTTCATTCTGCACAGAAACTTCTCCTGATTTGAGAATCACAATATCTATCAACCCACGGACTTCTCATGGGCCAGGAGTTTTTGCCACCCCATCCACCCTCCAAGAGAAGCCTCCTGGTGAACTGCCACCTGCCTGCTCGTGGGACAGGAGCTCGAAGCTCGTACTGTAGCCCTTGACCCTGTGTGTGTAAAAACCCCAATCATGAAAGTAGTATATAAAAAGAAAATGTAGCAGATGACAACAAGAGAATAGTTATACAATAGTGAGATGAGGAAGGCTTTCCTAAGCACATGACCCAAAGTAGACGCCATGAGAGACCTGGGGTGGGGGTGGGCTAAAGGGATCAATGAGAGAAAAAAAGGTCAATGAAATATGTAACATTTCAATAAAGATTTTTAAAAAAGAATTATGCACAGGGGGTGTGCAGGAGGCAGCTGGTCGATGTTTCTCTCTCATCGATGTTTCTAGCTTTCTATCCCTCTCCCTTCCTCTGTAAAAAATCAATAAATTTTTTTTTTTTTTTTTTTAAAGAAAATGGTTCTGGATGGTATGGGTCAGTGGTTGAGCTGGTTGAACCAGGAGGTCGATTCCCAGTCAGGGCACATGCAGAAGACTACACCGTTGTCTCTCTCATCGTTGATGTTTCTCTTTCTTCCCTCTCTCTGAAATCAATAAAAACATATTTAAAAAAGAAAATGGTCCAAAGGGCCAACATTCAAACACTCATTCAAACACTGGAAAGAGTGAGCATAGGGAATGGAGGGAATTAGATTCCCATGAAATGACTCAAAGGAACCTTCCAAGGCAAATCACCAGGAGGCACTGGCCATCACAGCAGCAGCACTGGGAACAGGAAAGCAGTGGAATGGGACATGCTTTTCAGTCCCTGAGGAAGTACGTCCAGATGCATGCAAACTGCCACAGCCTACAGAAACTGAATTCCGTGGGCACTTTCTCCGGAACAAAGAAGGGAACCCAAAAGAACAAGGCACAGGATACATAAAAGGAGACCCGCCCTTTCCTTTCTGCCTTGTTGCCACAGAGTGAGCAAGATGGGTCACCAGCGACTCTCCTGGAGCCATCCGAGGAAACTCGGCCAGGGTTCTCGTTCTCGCTTCGTCTGCTCAAACCGCCAAGGTCTGATCCGGAAGGACGGCCCCAACATGTGGCGCCAGTGTTTCCGTCAGTACGCGAAGGACGTAGGTTTCAGTAAGTTGGACTAAGTGAACTTCCGTGAATGGGTCATTCAAGACATCTACCTTATGACAGAATGCTATCTCTTTGTACATAAAATAATTTTTTAAAAAAGGAGACCCAGCCCCAGAGTCATGCAGCCATGCAACTTGAGACACAAGCACACTGACGGCCATCCTCACCGCACCTCTGGCCGCTGCGGGTGAGGCCTCCGGAAGGGAGGTCCAGGGGGAAAGCAGGAGCTAACGGCCTGCCAGCACTGAGCACAGGGGTAACTGACCGAGACACAACTAGAAGATACGAGAAGCGTTAACCAGAGGTACACAGAAAACCAGGCACATTTTAAGAAGGCAATTTTTTTCTGGGAGAAAAAAAACATCACAGTATGCCAATATGCTCAGCTATGAATATCATCTGTGTAGGCAAACAACATATGCATTCATTACCCATTTAGCCAGAAGGTAAAACACTGGCAGGCCAAGAGAGAAGAGGGGATAATGCCATGTAATAGAAGCTATACATAAAGTCAATAGATAATTCATAAAACTCATAAACGGGATGACTCAAGAGAGAGGAAGCAGCACATGCACATTACTTAGAGTCACAGGAATACATCAGAAGAAAGAAGAGTCACAGGGGAGGGACTTCCTGAGTAGGGAACCACCATGATTTAAAAAAAAAAAAAATTATATTTATATATATATATATATATATATATATATATATATATATATATATATTAGAGAAAAAGGGAGAGGAATAGAGAGATAGAGCCG